GCCAGCCCAGCTACGCTCCGGCCCACCAGCAGAGCTACGATCAGCCGCCCAAGTACCACTTTAACTACGACGTCCACGGCTACGGAGACTACGAGCCCCAGTTCAACGCTCAGGAGGGTCGTGATGGCTACAGCACCCAGGGCTCTTACTCTGTTGCCCTCCCCGACGGCCGTACCCAGAAGGTGGCCTACAACGTCGCTGATGCCTACTCTGGCTACGTCGCTGACGTCACGTACGAGGGTGAGGCCCGCTACGACCAGGCCTACGCCGCCCCTCTTACCACCCGCAGCCCAGCTACAAGCCCGCCTACAAGCCGGCCAAGTCCTACTACTAGAAACAAGCTTCAACTGTGAAGAGACAGGACAAATGTTGCATGCGTGCGATTGCAAACTAGTTGAACATATTTATGGAATGGTTCTTACTGAATGAATTCCACAATATTCTATCACAATTTCGCAGCGGAAACACCAGCCCCAGTGACCATAATCTCCGCTCGTTGAAATCAAAATACTGAACACTCACTAAAAAGAAATTGATGCAAACGGCTTAGACTTTCTCAGAGTTGCTCGAAAATGTTTGGTGCGCTTGATGGCATTTCAAGAACACATATCTTGCCGTGTGTCTCAGTGCCGCTGCGATCCATACTGCACTGCGCAAACGCATTGCTTAAGCTAAACCGTTCTTCGACACCTGAGAAGCTAGCGTGCACATCTTTGTTTTATATTTGATAGTCAAGTTCCATTCAACTTCAATGCTCTTCAATCTTTAAAGGCATTTTTCCCATATGTTCAAGGTTGATTTTCTTCACATGAATACCAGCATGTCCCAATCCGGTTGAAGTATTTGCATTGATGTAGTGTTGTTTCGGCATGGTGTAGGACCTATTTGAGGGCTGATGGCTTGGTTGCAGTTTTTTGGCGCTGTAGTTTATTGGCAATGCAAACAGCTTGGCAGAACTAGAATACACCTTTTGGGGGTCGTGGGACAACTTCGCGGGATCGATCAGGACAAATATGGCTACTACAGGACAGCGAGACACCGCACACGCTACGAGTCTTACTAGACTGGTTGGCGAATATTGTTTTCGGAAGGCCACGTCAGCCATACTGTGGGCTTCTCACTGGCCCAACTCGTCGTCCCTGGACTATGTGCGATGGGATTACCTCAAGGGACCACGTCCACGTACGCAAGCTAGTGACCTTTCAGGATCTCAACACTGCCCTCATACTTGAGATGAGACAGGTCACGGTCAACAAGATCGAACGCACGGATATTTGATCGAACGGAAGATTGAACATCTGTAGCACGTTTGGATGGCTTAAAGCCAGGAGCCCATTAGATATCGCATTCAGCATTCAGGAGTCACCAGAATTCAGGGATGTATTCCGTTGTCCCGATTTGTTGGACATGGAATCACTGATGACTGTCACCGTCGCTTATCGTGTTTTGCGACTGAATTGCCAGTCTAATGCCAAAATAGTTATGATTGTGCGGCAAACACACGTGCCACTGATGAGGAAAACTTAAGTGAAGTTTTATCTTGGCTTCCTTACCAATGCCCCACATATGGCTGTCTCCGAGGAGGTCACTAGAGGACGCCTTGTCCCGGCGTCGAGTTCCGCTTTCCCGTTATCGAGCGGGAGGAACGGCCACATTCCGGTAGGAAGGATTGTGTGCGAAGTGTGTTAGTTGCAAGAAAAAATTGCGGAGGAACAATTTTGACTAACGACGTAGGCGATATCTAGAACACCAACACTATGGTGGTGTCGGGTCGATGGTGTGCTGACTACTCGCCTCCCTCTCACCGCTCACGCGGTAGCCATTGGCGAAGGAGCAGCGTGCTGGGCTTCGAGCTGTGCGCGTGCCGGGTGTGCGACTGGATGCCTCCTCTCGGATCAAAACCAGGCGTGCGATGGCCGGGAATCGAACCCGGGTCAACTGCTTGGAAGGCAGCTATGCTCACCACTATACCACCATCGCCTGCGTTCATTGCAAATGCTGCATATAATGCTGCACCAGCACTTGGTTTTCCTTAAACAGTGAAAGTGGGCCAGTGAGTGTCACGCGTAGTTATTATAGGTCTGTCGGTCATTTGACGTCCGACGAAATGACGTTTACAAGACAACCATATACCTTCCAACCACATAAAAGTACGTCCTGGTATGCAAAGCACGTCTTGAACGTCTCGGGAGGACACCGAATAGGTGTTTTGATCTCACATCAAAAATATATCCTCAAATCCTGCGTGAAAGGATGTCTGGAAGGCACTTAAAAACTTTGAAAGTGGGGTTACATTATCTTACATTATCCTTTGATGACTTAAAGGGCCCGAAAGGGCCCGAAAAGGGCCCGAAAGGGCTTAGGGCTTAAAGGGCCCGAAAAGCCGACCGGAGGTTGTGTTGAGGGGCCGGCCCTGCGGGCCAGGAACTATAATGTCATCCAGAGCGTCATGTGTGCTAATCAGGGGCCCCTGAGTCGATAAGGGCATATATGTCGGTCAGACACCACCAGTTAAGCATTGTCGGCACCGTGTCGGCATGGCCTGGTGGCCCATTGCCCAATCAGGAACAAAGTAGGAGCCAGAGATTTACATTGTTCGGAGCCCCAGCGTCTGTCAGGGGTGCCACAGTGCCTCACATGGGGTCCTGTGTTGGCAAGGAGCCCGAATCATCCAGAGGCAGTGTTTGAGGAGGCTTGAAGAGCTTGGAGGACCCACCGGGACCGGCGATCAAGGGCCCGATTGGAGAGCTAAATGACACGAAGTGCTGGTCGGGTCTCATTCAGGGGCTCCAGCCTGCAGGGATGGTCCTGATGTGACAGTCAGACGAACCTTTTCGTCTATCGGGGACCCCGTATCGATATGTGCCTATGTGTCAGTCAGGCACCATCAGTAGCGTATAGTCAGCTCCGTGTCCATATGGGCCGGGGGTCAACTTCCCAATCAGGTACAAAGCCGGAGCCAGCGATTTACATTGGTCGAAGCCATTATATCTGAAAGGGGCCCGCAGTGCCTAAAAGAGGGTCCTGTGTTTGCAAGGGACCCCGAAGCTGACCAAGGGCAGTGCTCCATGAGGTCCGAAGAGGGCCCCGGGGGGCCAGCGAAACCAACGATTAAGGGCTCATTTGAGTGCATGAAGGCCAGAAGGGTTGGCTGTAGGACACGTAAGAAATTGCGACCCGAAGGGCCGTTACCTAAAATATCAGTCAGAGGTCTTCTGCACCGTTTGAAGACCCTGAGACAATGCCGGCGTCTCGGTCGGCCGAACAGTGAGCTCACTGTCAGTCAGAACTTTAAGCGCCTATTTCGCTAGTAGAGACAAGGCCATGTAGGTGATTCGCATTGACCAGGCCCGCTGCAACAATGCTGGGCTTCTGCATCGGTCAGGGGCCCAGTGCCTAACATTGATCAACATAGACAGGGACGGGACCTCGAATGACAGAGAACTTCTTGCGTTGGACGGGGCCCTCTGACAAAAAGAGAAATATTAAGCTTATGATGAGTGTTCACGTTCAGACAATGGAAGGGTCCTGTGCCAGGCGAAGCCAGCAATACCGGACGGCGGGTCCTCCAGCCCAGTTCTAGCATGAACCCGTTAAACCGAAGCCCGAAAGCTTTCCGCGTCGGGAAGAGACCCATGTGATATGATGTATACCTTTAAGGGCCTCCGCACCGAACAGGGGTCCCGCACCATGTCGTCAGAATGGCAGGCGGAAGACACCCCGCGGTGGGACGGCCCTTCAGGTCCTGACCGGGAACAAAAATGTGCCCCGTAGTTCTCTACTAAAAAAACCCTTGCCCGGAAATATTGGGCCTCATCAGTGTTGAAAAGAGTGGGTCGACCTGAGTTTAAAAACCAACATTGTCGTTCCATGTTTGCATGAGAACTTTCACTCTTTTGCAGCATCGATGAGTGGAACAACTTACGCCAAAAGACTTGAGCCTGCTCGCCCAAAATCTCGCGAGCAAGGACAGCGATGGTCCTTGCAGCGATGGTGACCTTTGTGTTGCAGGAAAGTTGGCCGACGTTGGCCGAAGTAGATGTCAAGCTCATAGAAGTTATATATGCTTGTGTATGCAGCTGTATGCTCGAGAATAACATAACTTTTCCATTCAAACAAGTGACCACGGAAGCTGCGCATAGAAATTACTAAGAAATTGGAAAGCCGCGGGTAATAATCTTTACCTTCGTTTTCACGATCATTAGCAAGTTTTAGATGACACCTTGTAATTTCTAAGTCCCATTCTGTATCCTAAAATAGAACACTAATGCGCCGCAAACAGCAAGCTTCTTCAGAACGGTTAGTATCTCCACCGATCGGCATGTGGTCGTGTTTACAGAATGCGTAAGTCGCCATTTTTGCCACGCTCTGGGGAAAATACATTTAAATCCGCAGCTCCTTTAAACGCTCCCCGTGTCCGTTATAATGGATGGGCATGGTAAGGGAATGCTCATGCATTACCTTATACGTTCCGTGCTACTTCTTAACCTTGCCTGTCTCTCCTGGTTCCGCACTGATAACGCTGCGCACCCCGTACCCCGTTTACGCTGCGTTAAACGTAACATCCCAGAATGGTTCGTTGAGGCCCTAAACGCAACTCGAAACAAATAATAGCCATGTTTCTTGCCAGGAGAAGACCCCAATAGTATTTGGCTATTAGGCTTTAATTCCTTTTCAAAGGTGTTATCACGATTTGCAACAACACCTGAACGTCAAGTTAAGTTGTCCAACACCCCCTCTTTCCCTTGTTACACCTCCGTAACGCTACATCAACAGCCCTTCCCTCCATTCATAGCGAAGTTTATGGAGGCATTTGAAGCCAGACTTCAATCTGTGTGCACATTTATTTTGTTTCACGGAATAACTAGAAACCTTGGACTCCGTAGTGTTCCATATGCTTTCGCAAGCGTCTGGATATCTGGCATTACAAACGCTTCAAACCGACGGGTGAACAGTAGTTGCACTTGGTTCCAATGAAAACAGATACCGGGGGTGGTAATGCTGACAATATATTTTATATCTGCAATGCATCCTTAATTTTATCAATATCTCACTCAAAAAAACTGATAGCAACAATTTGTTTGAAAAACTCAACACCCGGAAGCCGCTGGCACGTCTGTACAAACTATTTTGGCACTTCGAGAACAGAAGCACTGTTTCCCGCCGGTGCAGTGGAAGTTCCCGGGTGTGCACACCCGATGTAAACAAACACCCGCGACACAAGTTGGTGCATGCAGAGGGCATTTTTTGTAGGCGCACGGGTCGGGGAAGGCGGGGGCGGTGCAGTTGAGTCCCCCTCTGGACACGCCCGGACAGCAGAGCAGGTTGGATGCGCAGTCGTTATCGTACTGGCAGAAGGTGCCGTTGGCCTGGGACACCTGCTTCGGCGACGGACAGAAGCCGGGCTTGGGCTTGGCCCGTGGCACGCATTTGACAGTGAACTGGCAGCTGGGGAAGTATTTGCGAGTCACACCTCGGCATAAAGGGTCGCGAGCCAGGGCAGGTCGCGAGCGAGACCTCCTCACCGTCACACAGACTGTGCCAGTTCCACATCGAACCGTAGCGCACCGATCGGGAATACAGACCGGCACGGGGTAGCACGGCGCGCCGATACAGAGGACCTGCCGCAGCACGCAGGTCTGCAGTCGGCGGCAGCGGACGTTCTGGCAGCTGGGGTGACGCTTCTTTACGGGAGCTGGCGACTTGACGCACACCGGGTGGTGGTCGAAGCAGAAGCCATGGGAGCACCGGCGACGTAGTTCGCAACGTTGACCCTTCGGGCACAACTTCACGCAACTGATACGTTTAGGCGCCGAGACGGGCTCTGAAAGTCGGACACGTGGTTGTTACTCTTTAAAGCAGTAGTGCCTGGTATCTCTGCGCAATGTTCAGTTTTGTACGACACACCGGTTTCCTTTGCCATCAGCAGCTGTTAAACTGTGAGGCTGAATCGAGAGAAGTATGGGCCCTATGCCCCTTTTAGAGCTCAAAGTCATCTACAGAGCGCAGGACCACCCAGACAGGAAATAAGTAAATCTATTCTTATAAAAAGTCGGAACCAAATCTTAACATACAGGGCTCATCATGGCCAATTATGCGAGGGCGATATGTGCCTCTTTGTGTGATGTGTGCTAGCTTAAAATCGTTTACACGTGTAAGTGATGCCTGACGCGTGATGTGCGACACCTGTTCATTTGAAATCGTTTGCATGCATAATTCGTGGGCGATATGTGATGCCCGTTGACTTCAGCTGGCTTGCATGTTCGAATGAAGCGTGGTGCATGATGCTTATTCGGTTGAATTCGTTTTCATGTACACGCATGTCCGGGCATTCCAATTCTTACATAGGCACTGTGTCTTCGTTATGTCTGGCAATGACTCTCTGTTTAGTCCCCTTAATGTTGGCGTTTTGTAAAAACTGCGGCTTATTGTTTATTTAAAAAAGAACCTGAAAAATCGAGTAGGATCATCGGCAGGTAATTTTGAATTCACCTCTGCTATTGTTTCGAGAAAGGCATGTTGCCGAAATGTCAATCCAACTATATCTCTAATCTCCCGGTTTTTCAGAGGAATAAGGCTAGTATACTGTCTTATCTAAGTGGCTAATGTTCTTCACTCATGCAGTGAACAACTCACATAAGTTAGACTGCCTGCTTTCAACAGCCGCAGCTGTTAGATAACCTGACGTTTTCATAGCTCAGAACTGCACTATTCATTGAGATCAATTTGGCGAAAACATATGATGCCTGTGGTAGAGCTGGTGCAATACACGTGTTAACAACAAAATTTCCGCCTTTGGACACGGTAATGCTAAAAAAAGAACGAAAAATATTCTATGCCCTGAATAAAGTGCTACTTAGTACAAAATATAGTATAACCTTTTTACCTTGAAATACGAACTAGCTGAGTTTCAAGTTCTAAGGCAACTGGTACTTTCAATGATGGAAATATTTGTTACATATGTATCTGAGTGTGTTTAGTTTCGGAATGACGGCACTCTTCTTTGATGCCAGCCAATGACATCAAGTAAGATACGATGGCAGCGACGAGAGATGAGTTACCGGTGAACAATGCAACTCGAAGAGGTGTGTGGTAGAACGAAGTTTGATGCGCTCCAAAAACACGTGGGACATAAAAAGCTTTCACTCTTGTAGTAACAGCAAATGGTAATTACATCCTACCATACTATAACGAACTACGGTGAGCGTGTAGTCATCTCATCTTTAAGATGTCATTGCCACCTCTTGCTATCTCCCTTTGGATGTAATGTATAATGGGCTGCGCCAGTCACTTCTGGAAGGAATCGTGGCATGGCCCGCGTTGGCCACGCCATCGCACGCTTTGGGAATAACAAAAGAAAGGGGAAGGGTCCACATGACCGCCAAATAACCAAATTTCTGAAGACGGAGCTGCAAATGACGCAAGTATCGGTACCTTGGGCATTGAGAGAGGGGTGGGTGTCATCAACATAACAATAACACACAGTCATCAAAAACAACACAACAAAGCATGACTGATAACATAGGAAGTCCCGCTCATTTATCAACATGCCCCAACACTCAAACAACTTAGTTATTGCGTCACGTTGCCCCTTTGTGAAATATAGCTGTCCCCAAGTTGTGGGGAACATTAAATGTATGTGAATTGTGTGAAAGTATGCTACAGAGGTCTGCATATGTATTGAAACCAGTTGCTTTTTTATTCGAATCATCATGTATGTATGATGTGTGCTTTCGATCGTGTAATACCATATCATATGCGATCAAGCTGTCATACCATGTCTTATCTTAATCATACCATATCTGTTTGGTAATGTTTTTAATGGTTAAACCGAAACGTAGCTTTTGAATGACTATACAACAAACACACGATATTTTGTATGATTCATTTATTGATCTTTTGACTTCATCCAACACAAAAAGCTTACTAAAAACATGAAACGAATCAACGGAAGGCCTGCCAAAGTCAAGAACTCATCAGTCTTCGATAAAATAGGCTTCAAAGACCCGTATATACACGCATACATACATGCATATATATATACATATTTATATATATGATAGCTAGCGCCGAAACTATAATTTGAAACACAGTTTTGACCGTCGTGACTTATATAATAGATGTGCTCCTTAACACGTCATTGTTTGATTAAGTCATTGCACATTGCATAGCCAATTGGCAATCGAAAATCGTGCTCACAAATGCCAGATATAAGCGACCCGAGAATTTCCTCTTCTTGGCTTTGACCGTCACATGGCTAAGGGAATGACAGGATTTGAATGGTGTTATCATGGCGTCAGCGAGGCATGTGTGGCCATGGTGTACTTTCCGAAAAAGTCTGCACACCTTCGCGGGCGTTTAGCTCAGAAACTAGAGAAGTTTAGGCCTTAAATGAGGCTGGGCTGTGAACTGTACCGAACGGTCTTTAAGAAGGCTATTTCACCTCGAATGCCCATGCAAATGTGGAACACTGCCCTTCAGATGTATGACAGATAAAAAAGTGAGAACGATATGGGTTTTTTAGCCGCGTTGGAAACCGCTGGAATGTAGATGAAAGCAAGCCAGGCTTTCCCAACTACTTAAATTTCATCACTGACTTAGCAATGTAGACCTTGACAACCTTATTGCTAGACCCAACCATGTCGCATATCGCATACACTCCCTTTAAGTTTGCATGGTGTGTAGTGTCTGGCTTTTGTATAATTAAGGCTATTGATGTTCTGTATTGCAATAATTGCGGACCATTCTTATACATAGCATTGATGTGCGATAGAAAATTGCCGCAATTATGCGGTATATAGTAGTTTGTGTTTGCATCTAGCACTATGGCCTATAACGGTGTTTGTGATGTAATAAACGAATGCTGAATACTGAGTATTGCATATTTGTAAACCGGGCAGTACCACCTTATTGGGGGATCTGTTGTTCACACACGCTAATGCGAGCACAACAATTCGTTCTGGTTGCGGATGCCCGACGGTAGCCATGAGAGCAGTAGAAATTGGTGCATCTGTATTTTGCCCCAGTGCGACCGGCATCACACAGTGACGCACGTTTGTGCCGATGCGATTATCTGTTTTTCAAAATAAAATCGCACTGATGACGTCTACCCGCCATGGCGGATCATCGGAGTTCATACCCTTTATTCCGTCCTTGTTTTTTTGCGTCAGCTATTTTTTGTATGGTTTAATTTTTGAAAGACTTAGTCCGAGCTTTGGAATAAATTAATTTCTAAAATCAGAGCCCACGCTAAGCAGTGCTTGTTGCACGAGCCTTGTTCTTCATCATTTGATCGTGAAATTTCAGGTCTTCGGCAGAATTTGGTGGCCCAAGTGTAACATGTCACAATGCTCGGCGCGGCCTGCTCTGCCCTCTGGCGTAACCTGACCTTTAAGCGCGGCCGCTGACACCGGCCGCGGGCCATCCCAGTCATGACCACATAGGAAGTGCCTGAAGTGGTTCCTGATACAAACGTGCGCAGCTGAATTATTTCCAGGCGTGCACTTAAGCAAGCAATTCGGTACAGGCGGTTCGCCAGGCCGGGCGGGGCCCTGAATGTACACAATTTTCGTTGGGCTGACGTTACGCTCAGCTCGGTTCACGAGCTCCCATGTGATGGCTTATTTGATGCTGGGAGAGTTCCAATCACCACGGCGCGTTTAAAGCAGCCCGGAGCGGAGCGTGTTCGCACACAACAGCGCCTGCGTCCCTCAGAATCCCCCATGCCCCTCAGCTTACCAGACGACTCCAGCTGCCCGATGTACCAAAGCAGCAGCAGCAGGCCAGCGATGCATCGAAGATGTTCCATGGTGTTGCCAAGCTAGAACCTGACAGCTGAGGCACAGCGGGTACGAGGCTGGTTTCTGCAGCCCGCCTGAGTGACGCTACTGACGGATGGAGCCGGTCGCTTGACAAGTCAGCAATCGGTGGCCGACCTTTAAATCAATAGGTCAAGCTAAGGTCTTTGGTGGCAGCAAATGCGGAGATGGTGGAGCCCGTCGGCGAAAACGATGGCGGTGGCGCACTGTGCTGCGACAGAAGAGGAATCCGAGGAGGAATTGTAGGCGGCCCTCGTTGACAGGTGGCACCGGAGACAGGAGGAAAATAAATAATTAGACTATGGCTGGTTTTGTTTTTTTAAAGAAAATATCGCCGCTCGTTGCCAAAAAAATTCAACCGAAAAAATCCTCCGCTTACCGAGCTTTGCAACAGTCCTGACGCCCGACCCAAATTTCACTGGCGACGACTTTTTAGACTCAAAATCAGCTGTTGTTTATCGGAAGTACCAGATGATGTCGTGCAGCAAACAAACATAATTTTATTGTTGCGATGGTCCATTATGTGCATTGAAAAAACAGATAGCCTTTTGGTTGTTGCCGCAACTGTCTAAGCGTATCATTTGTTGTTTTCGTTGCGCAATAACATTCTTACATCTATATTCAACACACATTTGTTACCCGAGCGGTAGAAAGTGGTCAAATGTGCACAGGGCGATATAGCACCGCGTGCGAAGCTTGCGTTTTGCTGACTAGTTGAGGAATGTATTAAGCACCTTATTGTATGCAGTGTTGCATAAAAAGCCAACAATATTATTAGATACAAATATGGATAATACAAATATATTAGGTAGGTACAAATAGGTACAAATAGGTAGGTACAAGTAGGTACAAATGGGATAGGTACAAATAGGAGTACAAATGTGGTAGGTGTAGGGCAAAAATCATTGCTAAAATCCATTACTGAGACATATGTCGGATCTGAATAGAACGGAACTGCATGGGTAGGTGCTCGGGCATTATGGTCGCTGCTCTGCCCCCTTTGGAGGAAGTCATGTCTCCCAGAGTTGTCTGAGACGGCTCCCAGAGTTGTCTGAACAAAGTAATTGGAACACGGCAGATAGCCTCGTGCGAGAGGGACAGCCCCCGCCTAGGAGAGGATAGGGAATGGACATGCCCCCCCCCCCCCCCCCCCAACAGTTCGCTGGTTATAAGTGAACATTCAACCACAAGCATACTACGACTAATTCGACGAAAACGAGGAATTGCATACTTGAAATGCATTACTCAATTATTATCACATTGGCAAAATATTGAGCACAAAATGAGGGGAATCACGTTTGAATAGTAGCACCATGCGATTAGGTACTTACCCACTAACAAGGTGCCTAGCGCAGGGTAGATACCTTGTTGGTGGGGGTAAGGTACCAGCCCGTATTGACTAAACTGCCATGGCATATGCACCCTCTCCTCGCCACCGCTCTGCCCGATTAATCTCTTGGTTTTATAATGCTGTTTGCAACCCCATGTATATAGATTCCACCGTTTAGTGCATAAATACACGGTACCTACCCACCAAGGCATATTCCTGGGTATCTCCCCATCTATCCACCAAGTCGGTGTTGTAGCTGTGTGACGCGCTCGCAGTTCGTGGCCCTCGAACTGCATCGCTTACACGTTCGACAAGATGTCATCAGTTTTAAAAGACGTTGTCTTCCCTACACAGCCTGATGTGCGTGACGCTTGTAGCCTGTTTACTTGTTTTAGTTTTGCTTTACCCTCCTACGTAAAAGGATACCGTTTTACTACCTATTCCACCTCCTGCCTAGGAGTGGGGTACTGTGCGAGGGCGTAGGCGCGCCTTTGGAAAGGTCTGTGCACTGCACGCCCCCGCCCCGTCCCTCAGCATTCCCCGCTCATGGAGTTATACCTCTGCATTTTCGCTGACGATAACGAGATGAGCTCGTGCCCCTGGTGTCGCGGGGTGGTGGTGATCGTCTCGGAGGAGGTCCGTCGATCACACCTTGTGCCGGCGTCGGTTCGTGTTGCGCGCGACGGGAAGCCGGTCGGCAGACACCTCGGGGCCCCCGGAGTGTTGGCTAAGAGGGAGCAACGACCGCCTGCATGTTGGGACGTTTATGTGCGAAATATGCCAGTACATAAGAAAGATGGTCATGTGACATGTTTGAATGCCGATGTGGGCGAAATAAGAAAGACCAAAGACTGGGGCGATGTTGGGTTGATGATGCGTTAACCACTCGCCTCCCTCTCACCGCTTGCGCGGTGACCACCGACGGGTGAGCAGTGCGCTGTGCTTCGAGCTGCGCGCGTACCGGGTGTGGGACGCGATGTCGTCTTGGTTCAAAACCACACGTGCGATGGCCGGGAATCGAACCCGGGTCAACTGCTTGGAAGGCAGCTACGCTCACCACTATACCACCACCGCTTGCAATTGTCGCAAATGCTGCATATAACGGCCACCAGTACTTGGTTTTCCTCAAGAAAGGAAAGTGGGCCAGTGAGTGCCAGACGTAGTGATTACAGGCCGTCATGTCTGGAAATCGCATTCACGAAAGTCAGATATAAACGACTAGATACTTATATTTTGTCTTCGCCTTGATCACAGCATAGCCAGTGAAATAACAGGATTTTAGTGACATTATCGCTCCATGGATGCCTGGGTGACCTTGAACTAGTCTTCTCGAACTTGTCTGCACATCTTGGCGGGCGTGTAGCTCAGAAACTAGAAGGGCTCATGTCTTAGGGGCAGGGCTGTGAAATGCACCAAGTGATCTTCAAGATGGGTATGCACCTCATGGCGCAACAAATTTCTCCCTCTTCTTTAATATCTGTATCTGTGAACGGTCTGTGTCAACAGTTCCAGATCGACACAGCATCACATCAACGGCGGCGATGTTTGTGGGATAAAGCATGGATAGTGGCCAGAGACATGTGTGAACAATTTGAAAACTGTCGTGCGCTGTATATTCCGTGTTGTTGCATGGTGTATCCATTAAAGTACAGCAAACGACGCATAAGAGCTTGCGTCTGGTTTTTGAAAACAGGTTATTACAAAGCAGCGATTGCAACGCCTTCAAATGGTGTCTGTGCTTGTGCACAATGTGGGTGGCTGCGAACACTTCTTATGCCATTGAAACATCCAGCACATTTTACTCTGTCAGTGCACAGCATCAGGATGATGCATGCAAGTTACAGGCGCAGGGCATATGGTCTACTGAGACGTGGTGGACAGTAAGTATCTGACTTATCTTAGTGACCAGCTATTCTAAATTATAGCTCTCTTCCTTCTCATTTATAGTTGAAAAGGTGGGGGATAAGAGCACGTAAGGCCTACCTGGTACAATCTAAATTTATAGCCCAGGTATTGGATCAATGCTTTTAAACAATGATGCTAGCCCAAACAACGCTTTGCAGGATATGACACTGACATGATATCTTAGGCACAATATGTATGGGGGGTTTAAATTAGGGGAGAAATGACACAGCTCATATAACAATTTTAGCGTATATGCGGGTTAATGCCGACTCAGCATTGTGGTAGGGGCGGACTTTTGCGGGCTGGATATCTTGCTGGCTAGGCGAACCGGGCTGTGGCAACTATTTTGGAGAATGCTGCTTTTCCCAGTGTGTATTTAGGATGGTGCAAGATATAATAGCGGATATTTTAGAGAGACTGGACTTACGAAACGTGGCTAAATGTAAGTTCCGAATGTCATCAGCGCATGTAAAAGGCTAAAATGTGGTCACTAGCAAATTTCGGCGTAGTGTATTACAATCTGTGACAGTTGTGCACAATTATGTAACACAAAATAACCTGCCCGATTACTAATCCCAGGAGCTATTTCAAATTTGAAAACCAACAGACCTGTGTGAACGTCAAAGGGCAATGTCCTTTGAGCTTGACTTCAGACGTCGCACATGGTAACATCATGCGTGACGCTTCGTAGCCTGTTTACTTGTTTTAGTTTTGATTTACTCTCCTACGTAAAATGATACCGTTTTACTACCTATTCCACCTCCCGCGTAGGAGTGGGGTGCTGTGCGGGGGCGTAGGTGCGCCTTTGGAAAGGTCTGTGCACCGCACGCCCCCGCCCCGTCCCTCAGTATTCTCCGCTCATGGAGTTATAACTCTGCATTTTTCGCTGACGATAACGAGATGAGCTCGTGCACCTGGCGTCGCGGGGCGATGGTGACCGTCTCGGAGGAGGTCCGTCGATCACGCATTGTGCCGGGCGTCGGTGTCGTGTTGGCGCGCGCGTCGGGTCGCCCGTCGGCCGGCACCATCGGGGCCCCCGGAGTGTTGGCTAAGAGCAACGGCCGCCTGCATGTTGGGACGTTTATGTGCGAAATATAACCAGTACTAAGAAAGATTGGTCATGTGACATGTTTGAATTCCGATATGGGCGAGATGAGAAAGAACCAAGACTCGGGCGATGTTGAGTTGATAGTGCGTCAACCACTCGCCTCCTCTCACCGCTCGCGCGGTGACCATTGGCGGGTGAGCAGTGTGCTGGGCTTCGGTTTAAAACCGCGCGTGCGATGGCCGGGAATCGAACCCGGGTCAACTGCTTGGAAGGCAGCTATGCTCACCACTATACCACCATCGCTTGCAGTCGTCGCAAATGCTGCATATAACGGTCAACAGTACTTGGTTTTCCTCAAGAAAGGAAAGTGAGCCAGTAAGTGCCAGATGTAGTTATGACAGGCCGGTCTGTCGTCTGATGGTGTCGGAAACACCGCCTCATCGCATGGTTGTGTATGCATTTGCCGTGGATTTATGGATGGTGACAATGGATTGTCGCACGGTCCTTGATACTGCATCGCTCTCAGCAAGTCACTGTTTCGTCCCGAGTGTTGATCTTCACGTTTGTTGGGTTCAGTTCAAGGCCTGGCGCCAGGCGTGGGGATTGCCTCAGCTCTCTCGTTGAACACGCTGCTGACATCAGAGCCGGGCTCATAGTGCATTAGTACAGCACGGGCTTTGATGCTGAAATTGTCTACCGCATTAGGAGCGCGGTGCAGTTCTGACTGCCGATAAATGCCATCTTTACTGT